GCACAATTCCCGCCACCAATTCCCGCCAATTTCCCATTCCCACTGCACAATTCCCACCACCAATTCCCGCCAATTTCCCATTCCCACCATGGAATTTCCGCTACCAAAACCTGCCAATTTCCTGAGTCCCACCACCAAAACCCGCAAAATTCCCGGGCCCCGCCCACTGCAGAATTCCCACCACCAATTCCCCCCAATTTCCCATTCCCACCACACAATTCCCGTCACCAATTCCCCATTCCCACCATGGAATTCCCGCCACCAATTCTCGCCAATTTCCCACTCCCACCACAGAATTCCCGCCACCAATTCCCGCCAATTCTCCCATTTTTTCCCGGTCCCATTCCCATACCCACCTTCATCGGCGTCGTGCCGCGCGGCCGCCTCCAGCAGCCGGACGCTGGCCGGGAACGCCACCCGTTTGCCGTGGCCGCCGCTCTTCCTCCTCCTCCTCTTCCTCTCCGCTCCCCCTTTGGCCGCCGGTGTTTCCCTCTGGGCCTGCGCCCACCTCTTCAGCTGCTGCGCCCGGCGTTTCTGGGCGTGCTGGAGCCGCTCCGCCGTGCCCAGCCGCGACACCGCCGCCATCTCCGCCAGCAGCTCCGCGTGCTCCGCCATGCTCGGAGCTCCGCCGGGGAAAGCGAGGCAGGGGCGGCGGCGGCGGAGCTCCGCGGGGCGGGCGGCATCACCCAACACCCGCGGGCGGGGACGGGGTTTATCCCTCGATCCCGGGCGTTTTGCCGGGATCCCGAGAGCGGSAGGAGGGCGGCTTGGGAAGCATCTCCACCCCTCGGCGGGGAATTGCCGGGAATTTCAGTTTGGATKATCCCGAAAAATTCCAGCGGCTCCGAGCGGCTCCGGGGACGGGGAGATCCGGCGGGAATCCTGCGCTGCGTGGGGAGGGAAAGGCGATGGTTAAACGCCCAGCCCAACCCTCGGCCGGTTCTCCCGGTTTTCCTAAGCCGGGATTGACCCAAAATCCGCCCGGGATTCCCGATGGAGGCAAAATTCCGGGTTTTTTTTTTTTTTTAGGGGAAAAGGAGGTTTGGGGGAGGATTGGGATGGGAACGGAAAAACCGGGAGCGGCTCCCGCCCCCGCCGGGCAGAGCCGGGCAGGACCGGGCGGATTCCAGCGCCCCGGAATTCCCAAAATCCCGTCCCCGCCTTTC